TCACTGGTCTCCAAGGCTTCGGAGGAAAGCTGCTCCTGTGGCAGCCCGAAAGCAGGGAGAAGGAAAGAGTGAAGTGTTGGGGGTGCGGTTCTGGGGACTAGGCGCTGTCCTTTAAAAAGCATGCTCCCAGAAGCCTCCTTCCTGCCTCTGCTGTCTACTTTTTTGTTGAAGATAGACCAGAAGTTACTTTACCTTAGCCAGAAGTAGAAGTTCTACTAGTCAGTTTTGAGCAAATTTTGCAATCCTATTCCATCAGTTTTTCTTTCATTAATTTTGGTCTCTTCCACAGTAATTTATTTATTTATTCATTCATTTATTTATTTACTTTCTGGGGATCCAACTCAGGGCCTTATGCTTGCCAGGCAAGTGCTTATGCCACTGTGCTACCTCCCTGGCCCTAGTACTTTATTTTTTTCTTTCACACTATTTTCAAACAGTTTTGCTACCTTGGTGGCTCCTTCATTAATACTAGATTTTCACATATTTACTATTTTGTTTGGATGACAGTGTAACCCCAGATGGTGGTGCTGGGGACTGACCCTAAGGCCTCATGTATGCTAGGCAAGTGCTCTACCACTGAGCTATATTCTCATCCCTAAGTCCACGTTTTTAAGATGGTGTGAGTGCTACATCCTCCCCAGGGCAGGTGGCCTGCTTAAAGAATAAAGGAGGAAAAGCAGCGTGTCCCCCTGGCCTCCACTTTTGCTGTCATCTGTGGCTCTGAAGTCCTCCCCCTGCCCCACCACCCTGCCTGGGTGTCTGCTGATTACCACAGACTGAAACCGCCACGAACTGTGAGCTAAGTAAACCTTTCCTCCCTGAATATTGGGGGGTTAGGCGTTTCGTCTCAGCAACAAAGTAACCAAGGACATCTAAACCTCTCTAGTCTTCTTTGACTTCTGCTAGGAATAGTTGAGCGAAAAAATAAGTTGGAGAAGTACTAAACAAAGGTAACCCAAGGAATTAACAAAAAAGATGGAAATTACAAGCATTATGTGAGGGAGAAGAAAGTTAACAGGCACAGAAGGAGTTGGTGGAAGGGTGGAAGGTTAGTCCTGTGTCACGCATCTCTAAGTTTTCATCTCTGTTCATTTGAGCCGTATTTTTCTTAGGGAAAAGGCAATGATAGTTTAAATTTTCATATTCTAATTTTTCTATGGTACAATGTGAATGAATTATGGCTCAGGAAGAAAAAGCTGTTAAACTTCTGTGAACTACTGGAAAGGAACAGTGTGCAGGAAGCAGATGTTTCTGCTTTGTTTTAGAGAAGGCAGGCCAGGGGAGGGGAACCTGTGACACCTGGGCTCCAGCGGCTGCGGCTTCTATCACTGGAAGCCACAAAAGGCTCACTATCACTGAGCGAGGCTGTTAAGGCAGTTAAGTAACTGGCAAGCGCTGTTTAGAATAAAATAAGTTTCAGCGTACTATATCTGAAGCAGCCATTTTGAAAATTAGAAGATCTATAAAGTTAACTAGGATTAACAACATTCAGAATTCAGTCTAAACTAAAACCTAGTTTAACCTGGTTTTTCTATAACACATAACATTTGTATCTACTTTCAATGTTCTTGGACATATATTTTTGAAAGAAAAACTTAAAAATCAGATTTATATACTTTTCCATTTCACACTGATTTATTACTCTGCACATCCCAGACTGGGCCAACTTATACTGTGCCTTTGTTGACAAGGAAATATGCTAAGGGTAATGATACACACAGCAGTCATGGGGGAAGTTGTTAGAGCCATACATAAGAGGTGATGCTATATCCCTGTAAACCTTTACTTCAAGACCGGTAATTAAGATTCTAAGAAAATTTTTCAATGATGCTTTTAAAAAATCAGAAATTATCATTTCTTATTACTATATAAACCTCTAAGAAGGATTTTTTTTTTATCACAGTGCTTGAGTAAAACACACTCTAACCACCATAAAAATCAATAAAAAGATATAAAATAGAAAACCTAATTGCTTCCCACTCAAACCTCAAGCAGTTCTTTACCACAGTTACAATACTCTGTTAGCAGAACCTTCAAGAATTGGAATTCTTTCTAATTGCTGTCAGTTATCCTCGTAGATTGCATCATCTACTATAATGTTTCAAAAATGATTCCTTAAAACATAATACATCAATTATTTAGCAATTAGCATTTTCTCCATCTGTTGATAGAATTTTTGGGCTGTGCTACTTACCGTTTTATATTTTTGGAGGATTCATGAAACCAGTCATCAAGGTGGTGATTACTAAATACTGAATTTCTCTACTTAGCTTATTTGTCTCTATTTTGTTTCATCACAAATTTACAGCATTACAGAACTGGAACAACTGTGGGGCAATTTGGCCTTCAAGACAGAAGGGGCCATAGTGATCGCTAAGCATATGGTCTGACAAGAAAGAGGCCAGGAGTTCAGAGACTGTAGACACTCACTGTAGAAGTCTGACATTTCAGCCGACATCACAGCAGATAGCTGAGAGCTGGACTGCAGTGGCTTAATCATGCTAGTAGTTCCTCATAGTCTAGAAAATCCTTTCAGTGTGAACAAGAAGTGACGGGGACAGTGTGACAGGGACAAGAGTGGTGGTCAAGGGGCTCTGAAGCAGCCTGAAAGGGCTAGAATGTCAGGTTGGTCACTCAGCTACCCTGCAACTCAGGACGAGAGGTTTTAGTTTCTCTCAGTTAACACAGTTCTCTTTTCTAAAATGATGCTAGCAGTAACATTTGCCTAAGGGATATGGACAGGACTAAAGGACTGAGCACACAGACAGCACTTGCAAAGGTACCAGACACCTGGCATGTTCAAGGAATATTGTGCTAGTTGTTACACACTGAAAATATTTTCAAGAAGAAAGCACTGGGCCTGTCATTCAGGGCCTTTGACTCCAAGATGTTCGGTGCCCTTTATGTAGCACACGGTTGATACTGCTGCTGCTTTTCTGAGGGACTCTCCGAGAAACTGAGACACAGGAGCTTTGAGCTTACACTACCGTTTTTAGGTGTAAATCTTAAAAAGTGCGAATGACATCTCATTTGCCTTTTCCTTCCCATGTTGATTTCTCTACACGGGTTTTTCTGAAGGACAATTATTTTTTAATGACTTATTTAGTCTACGGTATATGGCTTCTAACCTGTCACTTCAAATCCCTTTATGTAATTTTTATTTTATTTTTATTATTTTTTTGCTTTTTAAATTTTTCTCTCATTTTAATAAGAAAAAAGATAGCAATGAAACAGTTTTAAAACAGGTTAGTAGGACAGTTACAATAATTAATATTGCTGTCTTTGTGGTAGTTATTCAGAGGACAAGATGCAGACATGATATACTGTCTAAACAAATTAGTACAAACCTTTCTTCTTGCTGAATTAAGAGAAACTAGCTGTGTATCTATCCTATCATATTTTTTTTTCCCAACAAAACAATCTTTTATTTATATTCCCCCCTCCTTTTTTTTTTTTGGTCAGAGATCGGTGTTCCATTGCTGTTAGAGAAGCTGTATTTGGAGAAGTCTTTAAAGGACCTTTTCATACTTGATGCTAGTCCAAGTACTGTAGGTACTTGAATTCAGCAAAATAACCCAATATAGTCCAATAGTCCATAATAGTAGTGAGTTACCAGCACAACTGGCAATTGTCCAAAGTTGTTGATTTGAGCCTTTTACAGCTCAGCAAATTAATATAGCTTTACTTTTTATGTACTTTTCTGCTAGATGGTAAGACAAAGTTAAAGCAAGACCTATATAACTAAAAATGAAACTTTTGCTATCTGATAAGGTCAGTCAAATCCCTTCAGGATTTACCCTGGAACCATGTACAGCACCTTGTAGATCTTTTGTCAGTGTCAGCCATCTGGATGAGTCATGGCCACTGCTTGACCAATTTGCTCTCTGTGAAAGCCTGAGAGAATTTTTTCTCTCTAGATGACTCTTCTTAGGCACACTCTACATCATCAATCACTTTCCTCTGTGGCCCCATAATCTCCTTGATCAGAAAATTTGGGACACTAGTTAGTTACAGGATGTGCAGCAGAGGTTCTCTTATGTCCTGAGTCCGCTCTGACCTTGAAGGGCTAGGGCCAAAATATTGGCTATCTTTTTAGCCCATCTATCTGTCTAATTTTTGGTCTGCAAACTTTAGTTGTTAAACCTCAAGAAAAGAGGCTTAATGATATTATTACCCTGTAATAAGTCAGTTAAGCTTAACATCACTATTTGTCTGAATATCAACACCTTAGACATAAAATAGAACTATTTTCCAACAACCATGGATATTCTAAAATTTAAATCCCTACAGAATGTTAAAAAACAGTTACACATTTTTAAACAGAAACTCAGAAGTCAAACCATATACAACACTGTACCAGTATAATCCTGTTACATTTTGTTTTTCTTGTCTCATTTATTACCTTTTTTTTTTTTTTTGTCATTTACTTTAAAGAGTATAGCAATAATTCATGACATAAGAAACAGTATGTATTTAGAAGACCAAAATAACAGGTATTTTAAGCTTGGTTTTAGTGTAATTTTTTTTTTTTTTTTTAATGAGCAGAATATATTTATTGAGAGGAAGAAAGGTGCGGGGATATGGCTCAGTGGAATAAGTGCTTCCCTGGCAAGCGCAGGGGCCTGAGTTCAATTCCCGGTT